ATATATCTTTGTGTGTATCTATGTAGGTGTGTATATGTGAATAAATACATACATACACATAGGTATGTATGTATGTATGTATATATGCATGTATGCATGCATTATATATCTAGCAGACAAGACGCTCATTTGCCGGACGAAAGATGCGTTCATAGTTCTCAATGAGCACCTTGGCCAACATATTCATGCGGCCAATATTGAAATTGATATTGTTGGCAGCCAGCAGACAGGGGCCCCAGACAATGGCCAGATTTGAGGCAGGCATACGATTGTCGCTGCTGAATGCCGCAACGCTGCAATGATAACAATACAATGATTTCCATAAGTTAAGCACATATTACTGCAACTAATTCAACAAAACATTTGCTTAGAGCTACTCATGCCATGGCTAGAACAAATACTAATTGCATATACTAATTGCAAGCATTCTCAATTTGCCTGTGTGCAAATTTGTTTGAGCTCAACTAAGCTCAAGCACCGTAAGCTATGCTATATCATATTTATATTTACTCAAATAATACAAGACGAAAGTTAAAATTACGAATGAAACTCCTCCTAGTTGTCCATGTTTAAATTTTGACTTCGTATGTGACTTAACATTAACTTTAAGCATAGCATTTAATTGCTTTAAGTGCGGACTACTCATCGAACTAGAGCTGACTATTGCCAATCTTCACAATTCACTAAGCATTGCATTAGCAGAATAATACTTAATAGACCCATTCTTAAAAGCCATGCCTATTAAGCTGCAGCTCCTACAGTTTGATTACCTAATTCTTCAAATTTCGTGGTGACAAAGCTAGTGAAATGTAAGCTAACTGTTAAAGCATACGGAAATATAGTTCCTATTTAACATGCTCATGTAATTTAACATTAGCTTTACATAATTTTACAATTTGTTGTTTTATAATGCGTACTATCATTTTGATCAACTCATTGGAAAGTGCATCCATATTTATACTTGAACAATATATAATAGTTTATAGCACGCCAATTATGCGAACTCTCAACAGTCAGATATCTGAATTATTAGCGGATCTCACAGTTCATTGAAACTATCATTGATGTGTAAGCTTGATCTATACTTTGTAGCCATGTCTATTAAGCTGTATCTCTTACAGTTTGACAACTTCCATTCTTCAAAGATTTGCAATGCATTTGCTAACACAAATTCTAATAAACATGTGACTTAACATTCGCTTTACATATCAAATCTTATATGTTAAAATGCGAATTCTCAACTGTCGGCTATGCGAATTATTGCTTGATCTCACAATTCATTTCAACTGACTTTAATAAGTTAACTAGAACTATATATAATCCACACTTTTTACCCATGCCTCTCAGCTTCAAAGTTTCACTTTAACATGAGTCTTAACACTCATATATCAGTCTATATTTTATAATGCGAACTATTAACTAGGACTAGCAAACACTATTAATATGTCTTTCCTTACTATATATAGTCAATGTCTATGTCTACGCCGATCAATTTCACTAAAGACTGACTTCAAGTTATATGTGCAGCATGACTAGTCAAAAAGTATTCTATATATTCTATATTCTATTTCTATTTCAGATCACATTTCTAGATTTCTCTAAGAGATACAGATCTATAAATTATATTCTGATATCTATCTCTATAACAATTCTATTTCTCTCTGGAGATGCAGGTCTACAAATTATATTCAAATATCTATACAATGTATGCTTATATGTCAGATATTGGCATATAAGCATCATTATATAGATATCAGAATATAATTTATAGACTTTAAATATTATATATAATATACATAAGACATTAAATTGTTTATATATAATGCTCTAATCAAGCTATCGACTATAGTTCTATATACCTAACACAATATATACTACATAATAACTATAAAGTAGAAAATTCTATAAACCTAATGCTCTATACTCAAACTATCTAATATAACTCGCGACATAACATAGCACTCTCGCCTCGAATACATTCATATAGCTAAAACAATAATCTCAGCTGATCTGTTCTCTACATCTACACTCTTCAATAGTTTATCCCAACTGCTCTTTTCACTGCTCTCTGTGCTCTTTAAACTCCAATCTCTCATTGATCTCCACTCACTTGGTGAGATGCTTGATTAGGAAACGCAGTGTCGAGCGATTCGGTTCGGGCATCTCATCGAATGCCAAATGCATTAGCTCGATCGCCGCATCGTCGGTCAGGCAGCATCCGAGACGATCGTACGCCTCCTGGGTGATCAGCGGAGCTGGCAGCTCGCGAAAGAATTGCTTGTGCAGGCTGGTGAGCGTGTGTATGTCATCTGTCTGCAGCAAGCGTGGATCATACACATGGGTCAGCTTGCGCTTGAGCTCGTCGACGAGCAGCTTGTTGCCGCTGGCGCGATAGAGGCCATCCTGTTTGATGCAATCGGGCTGCTCGATGTGGGCGCAGACGTCGACGACAAAGCGCGGCACATACGGATGATCCGACATGTTCAGCTCCAGCAGATTCAGTCGTGCCCCAAACAGCGGATACTTGGACTGCTCATCCAGACAGAGGCTGTTCACCTGGCTGCGACGTGTGCGCGATTTCTTCTCACTCTTGGGCGATCGATTGCTGCAGGTGCCAAGAGTTTCGGTTAATCAGGTGGATACAGAGATATAGGCATATTTTCTACTTACATATGAACTGTAGCACGGCATCAGGTGGCGAAGGCATCATTGGAGTCATGAAAAGGAGAACAAAGAATGTCATTTGAATTAGTGCAAAGCTCATGTGCAGCTCTTCAAGCATTTTCCTACTCTCAGCTAAGAGTCTGTCCATGGAATTCGTTCGATATTTCGATTTGTTATCCCACACCCAGTCAATCATCTGGCCGACCACCCACTGCGACTCTATATGATAGCAACAACAACTCAGCTAGCTAACCGAATCTCTACTGGGCCTCGCGATGCGACTGCGCTTCTACTCTCATATAGTATTATTTATCGCTTGCAGTCGATGGATGTGCCTTGTTTGGCCATGCGGGCGTTTTGCATGCGAAATCTCAGAGAAAAGCCGCTGACTGGAATAGTAAGGCTTACGCCATACAACAACAACAGCAACAACAGCAACAATAATAATGTATGCTAAGTGCCTTCCAAGATTCCCCACAGTGAATCATTTGTGACACTAACAATGAGACGAAAAAAGTGAAATCCCCTGCGACGTTCATTAACTAAAACTGCGAGACAGAGAGAGAGAGACCAATTGAAAGAGACAGACACACAGAGAAAGAGTAAGAGAGAAAGAGAGAGAGAGAGAGAGAGAGAGAGAATGAGTGTGAGAGCGCGTGATGCCTGTTCGCTCTCTGCACGATTGAAACCGCATTCCATGATTCGAATTCGTATTCGCATTTCCAAATTCCAATTCCATTCATAGCTCTCTGACTCGATGTATATATGTATATATGTGGGCGTGTCAGTGTGTGGGCGCGTGTGACGCCTTTTACGGCCAAGCCAAGTCAGGCTGCTATTTACCAGTTTTCTGAAGACCCACAAGCTTGACTATTGCCAACGGCACAGACATCAGGGCGTCCAGCCACATTGCGAACGATCTGATCAGGGCGAGCCGGCTCGCCCAGTCAAAGAAAATTTTTTCAAAATTAAAATAGACTAATATATAATAAAACTCGGCACTGGATCTTCTAAAATGTATCACAAAACTGACCTACTTTGACTAAAACAAAAGCTCAAAACGATTTACAATGACAAATTAGAATTGGGAGAGTGACTAGCTTCAATTGTTTCTCAGGTGTCTCCAGAGAGACCCCGCATATGTTATCTTATCAGACAGAGTCTGAAGGCGGGAATTCCCCTTGGAAGATAACAGTTGAGATGATGCGTAATTAGAATATCTTAGGATGATTTCTGTTGCATCTTTCCATCTCTGTCTCTTTCTCTCTTTCTCTCTCTCTCTCTCTCTCTTTCTCTCTCTCTCTCTTTCGCTGATTGCCTCATGTTTGCGTCTGTTCGTCTGTCCTTTAAATCTTTCTCTATTTCTCACTGTCTTTCATCTTTTCATCTATTTTTTCTTGTATCTGCCTATTTGTGTATTTCCATATATCTCTCTCCTTGTCTCCCTCACTACCTTATTATCTTCTTCTGGCTTGTTTTCTCTATATCTCCTTTTTCTCCTGTATCTATTTCTTATCCAATTCTCTCTCATGCTATTCTCGTCACATACACACATTCTCGATCTCTTCATAATTCTTTCACCCAAACTTCCTCAATCACACAATCTCTCTCTTTCTCCCTCTCTCCCTCTAAACCATTCTCCCGTATCTCTCTTACACTTACTCTCTCTTCTACTGTCTCCCACTCATCCTCAATATCTCTCGCTCTAGTTCCCTCTACTTTACCCTCTACCTCTCTCTTCACTCTTCATGCAATAAAAAACAAATAAGAGAGCTCTAGTCGGGATTGCTCGACTAGCAGATACCCGGAACCCCACAAGGAGCCTATATTCACGCTGGCCTAAGCACGCGCTCTGCTGACTGCGCAGCTTGCATCGACTATATTATGAGAATTTATTTGTTGAATAATTTCTCTTGTAGTGGAACTGTCAAATGTGTGTATATTCTAGAGCAAAAGTATCTAGTATTTAAAATAGGTTATCCTTTTCAAAAGCTGAAGCTGAAGTCTCTAGGTCTAATAGTACCCAAATTACGTTTATAAACGAAATTAATTTATTGATTATTCTCAATAAAAAAATTTGATTTCCTATTTTTGATGGGTTCAGGGTATAAACAAAGCCGCCCATAGTTATAATAAAAGTCCGCTCAGAGGGGGCCCGGCCCACGGTGCGTATACTTAATGCCATTTGAATAACACTTACATTTCATACGCATGCGATTCCTAATCGACTTCTTGTCCTCTTCGCCGGGCAGATCGTTGAGGTTGGCAATGGAGGCGCTCTTGAAGCGCTGCAGGATGGTCGACTGCTGCGTCTGCTGCACCTCGTTGTCCTCCTTGATTTGCTGGGCGCGCAGAATATCGCTCACTGGCACAATCTGTGGAGCAAGCAGACAAGACACGCAGCACGCGCATAAATATCGATGCAGATGCAGGGCAAACGTGAAAGATAGCGAAACTCTTTGAGATTACGGCAATGTGAGGGTGTGGGGTGTGTGCGAGAGGGGTGTGGGACAGAGGGGGCTATGCTGGGTGTGATTGAGATACAATTTGTAAGCAACGAGTGCAAATTAATTGCAGCTTTTCGTGCTGATGTCGATGCAACGATTTCCCTGATTTTTCACTAGTTTTACTATTTTTGCACAGAACTCCAGCGAACGCCTCACCGTTGTCAGTCGACGCTTGGGCTTGCCCTTCCCCGACATCTCTTATCTGCTGCTGCCGGCCCGGAGAAACGAGAAACGAAAAACGAACAAACGAAAACGAAAGCAAAAAACGTAAAAAATAAAAATTAAAACAAGTAAGAAAGCTCTAGTCGAGACTGCTCGACTAGGAGATACCCTGAACCCTCTAATCTGATATTCTAATCATTCTGCACTTCTTTTATGCACACATACATACAGATGCATCCACACGCACGTATAAGCCTGCGCTCTGCTAACTGCGCAGTAAGCAGCGACTGCGCTTGGGCTGCGCTGCAGTGTGGGCAATATTATGAGAATTTATTTGTCGAATAATTTCTTTTGTAAACATATGATCTTAATGAAACTTTCAGAGTGTAATCATATGGTAAATATGTGTGTACATTCCAAAGCACAAGTCTCTAGTACTTGAAATGCGTTTTTTACAAATTGGGGGAGAAGGGGGCGTGGTATCCAAAATCTGTAAATTACAAAATCTTTGTATCGATTAACTTTATATACAACACAAATTTGAAGACTCCAGGTCTAAAAATGTTCAAATTAGGCTAAAAAAACAAAATCAATTTTTCGATTATTCTCGATAAAAAAGTTATCGGACGATTTATCGAAAAAATAAAGCAAACTCGTACTGCGTATGGTACACACGAGTATGCATGCCAAATTTCAGCTCTCTAGCTCTTATAACTTCTGAGATCGACGCACTCATACGGACGGACGGACGGACGGACGGACGGACGGACGGACGGACGGACGGACGGACAGACGGACAGGGCTATATCGACTCAGCTCGTCACGCTGATCAAGAATATATATACTTTGTGGGGTCTGCCACGCCTCCTTCTGCCCGTTACATACTTTTTCACAAAACCATTATACCCTGATTTCCCATTTTCAATGGGTTCAGGGTATAAAAAAAAAAATGTACAAGAAATGAATTAAAAATGAAAACACAAACACAAATGAACACACAGAAAAATTGATAAGGAACTGAATTCGATTTGCTGGGAAAGCAAGAGCGACGCGTGCAATGCCAAACGCGAACGGTTAATGCGCCCCAGATAACGGAACGCTCAAGTAGAAAAGAAGTGTTGCTCGATTCTTGTTGCTTGCTTGTATTTATCGTCGTATCGTATCTATCGCTTCGCTGTTCCGTTACTGTCGTTCCGGCGTCGTCATCGCCGTCGTCGTCGTCGTCGTCGTCCATCGGCTGGCCTCGAGTATTATATACGCTTTCCCTTGTACACCTAGCCACCTAGCCATATGTATGCACTAATTCAGATATTTTCTTTCGGCTCTCGGCCACACATAAACAGAAAGGCGAGCGCCACTGGTCCACCCCCCCTACCTCCCACAGTCCGGGCCAGCTAGCTAGAAACGAAACCCATAGGTTAGCAGCTGTAAACACGCGCCGTAGCCAGCTTAAGTTACATATCCCAGGCGCTGTGGCGTCTGTGCCAGTCGCACACACATACATAGATCGCTAACGCTCTCTCTGCCTCTCTCTCTCATTTACTCCCTCCGGTGTGGCAATAAATTGCGCATTCCAGGAACTTGGCCAAACAGCTGCTGTTCCGCCAACAAATGTAAATAATTTCCATGGCGCAACTGTCACGAAATCAGTCGAAATCATAAAAAATAATTCACAAAAATAAAATTTAAAAAAAAATTAAAAATGAAAATAAACAAAAAGTCAAAACTCCAAGAAATACCCTAGAAAAATTCTTTTGTTGCACCTGAAAAAGGTAACACAAATACTTATATAATGCCTCCTCCCGATAAGGCTCACCGATATCTCAATAACAGTCAAACTGTAGGTGGGCGTGTCACTCATTAAATTCCCATTAAGACATTGTAATATCTCTAGGTGAGTCATCCTTGTAAATGGAACGATTTTCAGTGCTCTTGCAGTTAGACTTAACAATGGCTATTGTGTGAGCAGCAGATTCTAATTGGAATCACAACAATGAAATGAGTAACCTGTGGAAGACTCAACTCTTGATGCTCTGATCATGAATGTGCTTTAATACGTATAACTACAATATATATAACTACAATTGCAAAATTTATTCAATGACTATTGACTGTATCTAGTCTCCAGTAAGGGATAGCTAAATAGAGCGCTATTTCTTTGTTTTTTCTTTCATTCATAAAAACTTGGCTTGCTTACTCTTAACTTGGAGCTACCCAGTACTTAAGTGAAATGAAGTCAATATGCGAGCAAAATTATGTTTTTTTAATATTAAATGGATGGAATTATGCATGAGCTATAAATAATAATCAAGATTACATTTATTGCTTGATACAAATTCTGATAAGTTCTGTTGATCTAGTTCCATATTTATTTCAAGATCACAGAGATGAAATAGATGAAAAAAATTTAAATATTAAAAAAATA